GAAAAGCGAGGTCGTTCTCTCCGTGAACACAGTATACATATTTTTAGACTGATATCATATACTGAAAGTAGAAACTAACGAAACAAAACCGCTTAATGCTTGATCATTTCAAAGAAAACAAGACTGAATAAGTTGTGTAAAAAAACTCTCAAATATTATAAAAAGAGAGTTCGGGAAGTTCCGTTTCCGTAGATTAAAATGTAATCGCAATTACTTATAATTGCAATTATCATGTAATTACGATTAAAAGTAATTACGATTACATTATAATTATACATTGTACAATTTTTGTATGGAACATTTTTTTCAAAAATGCATATTTTTCGAAATATTAAGGGGTTCCGACACTTTTTGTACATCCGTATAACTCAGAAACTGGTCATAGAAGTTTTCTGTAACTTGATACTTTTGATTAGGGACACAGGAACTACATCATATCACTAATTTAAGCAAATTGACCGAAAACGTTTTTCTCATAAAAATTAGGCGTGGTTCTTTCTGAAAATTATGATATGATAACAATTTGTGGAAATCGAAATCATATTCAGCGTTAAAAAAATACGGAAATAATTAACTTGTTCTTGTATTTTCTTTGTTGAATTATACAGAGTGTCCTAGACCACCAATACACCCCTTTTCTTTCAGAAACTAAGCATTTTAGAGAAAAACGTTTTGAACAAAAATTGTATGGTTTTGAGGGGAACATAAGATGGTGTCATTGGTTTGACCTTGGATGGCATCGTTAAGGTCAAGTCAAGGACACCTTTAATTTCTTAAATGGAATGACTTGACCTTAACGATGCCATCCAAGGTCAAACCAATGACACCATCTTATGTTCCCCTCAAAACCATACAATTTTTGTTCAAAACGTTTTTCTCTAAAATGCTTAATTTTTGAAATAAAAGGGGTGTACGGGTGGTTTAGGACACCCTGTATAGTAAAAAAAGAATGATATAACTGTTAAAAACTTACCAAAAAAAAAAAAAAAAAGGCGCCAAGTGCACGCTCCAGATATGAAAAACTCATGGAATATAATTATTTTATTCAAACCAAAAAAACTGTTGTATTAAATAGTTGCTTCAATTTTCTACAAAAAAAAAAAGTGATATTGAAAAGTTAAGGAGGTACGTATTTAATGCCGTGACATGCACGACGCTAATTAAAACGTTGCGCGGCGCAATTTTCCGGTGATATTCAACGAAGTGACAATATACAAGTAAATTATATAATTATTTTAAAAATGATGTCTTGTTGCGAATTAATTCAAACGCAATTTTATTCGGTATTAAAACTATTATTGACGTGGCAATTTCTTTAAAAAGCTGAATATTTTTATAATTATAAAATTACAATATCTTACAAATATCTTTTTCATATTTTCAAAAGTAATGCTGTTATATCTTAACATCGATTTTTCGACAAGTAGACGCAAAGCATGTTTTATATTAGGATATCTTAAATTGCTTAAAAATTCTTTCAATCTATGTTATAAAAACCCTTTCGCATATTTATAATCTAACATATCCACGAATCTCATAAATTGAAAGGCGCGATATAAACTGTAAATTATAAAAGATTAAATGAAAAAAATTAAGGTAATTATTTACATTAACGGACACCTCGCCGATGACCTTGACCTTGACATATGTTGTCAAGGACATGACCCTGAGTAACTTTTCTTTATAAGTTAATCGGCGCTCACTGTTTATTAAACAGTTATAAACAAAAAAAATTTGAGAAATTTGCTACTTTGTGTCAGTGCTAAAGGAAGTAATTGGTATATTGCTTATATGCAATATAAGGGAGGCAGCTTCGATGACCTTGACCTTGACATATGTTGTCAAGGTTATCACCCTGAGTAACATAAAAGATTTTTGTTGGCGCTCATTGTTTATTAAAAAATTGTTCTACAAATAAAAGTTATGAAACATTAATATAAGCATAAGCAGAAGCATAAATTTTAGTTTTGAATCAGAATAAGGTTTGGGTTAGGTTATATCTTCCGGAAGTGGAGCCCCCTCGTAGGGGGGACGGAACCCACTGTGTCCACGCATATACTTTATAACGCAAAGCGAGATCCATTCCACAATTGTTGTGTTGATGGGAAAATGTATATGTGAACACAATGGGTTCCGTCCTCCCTACGGAAGTTACTCAGAGTCATGTCCTTGACAACATATGTCAAGGTCAAGGTCATTGGCGAGGTGTCTGTTAATGTAAATAATTACCAAAATTAACATTGATGCAACTGCTTGTCACAATCAATTAATTATTTATAACGTATCAGTCAGTCCACAACTGCTTTGACTTTTAATCAAAATAGAAATCTGTTATGCTAAAAACAGAATAAGAATTTTATACATTATTATATGATATTCGTAATTTAATGATATTAGATAAAAGATTATATTCTAAAAAATTATGTTTATTTTTCATTAGTTAAATATATTTAATATATTTTCTTTAATTTTCTCTCTTAGTTCTTAGATAATATCAAATCATATTATATGAAATAATACAGTATTCCTCGACCGAGAATGGCTCGCGTGATATTTTCCGCTATCAGGTGGTTTATTCTAGGTTTGTTTACGAATCGCGTAATCGCTCTAATTATTCGAAATAAGAAAAATATGGTATATTATAACGGCTTTACGATTAGAATCCGACCATTCTTGCTCGTTTATCTGAATTAGCGTTATTTTGCGGTAGCGTACGGTAAAAGAGAATTCCGTACGTTGGTTTCCTTAAATGTGCGCAACGAGGCTATTACGTAACGATTAATTTAATCCATTAATGTATGGCATTATCGGGCATTATTGTAACATTATTGTAATGACAAAATTGCACGGAAAAATTACGAAATCATTAATTATTTATCATTATTTATCATTTTAATAATCATTTTTTATAATCTTTAGTGTATAAAGAAGATATGCATGACCTATATAGTTCTCGAAAATAATTTGGAACTAGAAAAAAGATATTTGTTTTTAATTAAAATATTTGCCGCAAAACATAATTCTCTTTCATTTTTTAATTAATTAAAAAAAATTACAACATAATATTTTATAATTAAGATAGCTTATACAATATACATGTATAAGATGCGATAAAATACTCTAAATAATTAACAAATTCGCGTCAATATTAATAAAATTATTGAACAAAGAAATAATTCTTTTATGTTTCTTCTGTCAGATATATGCTTGTCCAAATGCGAAAATAATGATATCATAAAACAAAAAACGTGCATTTATTGTATTATTTATAAATAATATAGACGCGTTATCTGTATTAATGATAAACGATTTCCATGTTCTTTCGATAAAATATAAGAAATACACACCATAAATAATATCGCCATATATGCATATACACGTTTTTACACTAGCATACTCTGAAGCTTCAAAAGCTCCATATATTCTTTTACTCGGGAAAAATAGAAATAATATTATAAAGTAATAATGCAGCTCTCTTTATCATACAACTATGGGTTTTAATTGAATCAATTTCTTGAATATATTGATTTTACATATACATACGTACGATTCGACGCTTTGCGCGGCTTTCTCCAATGCAAAACAATGTGACGGCACGCACGGAATGAATAATGTGGAGCACGAATAAAGGTTTCCGGTGAATCGCAATTCAATCGAACGCATTGAAATTCACACCAGAGTTCCGTTAAAAAAGTGAACATAGCGATGCAAAAGAAATAATTTAAGAACGATTTTTTACGTCATATACATATTTTCCTTGCATATTTTTTCCTCTCATTTATCGATCAATCAATTTAACGCAGTATATCAATCAACAATTAATTTGTAATTATTAATTCTCCTTAAAATCGCTGATCAAATGCAAGATATTTGCTGCGACTAGATTGCTAGTCTTTCAAATTATCAACGAATGGATGAATATTTGCCACGAAAAAAAAACATGGACGATGATAGAAGAACAAAATATGTAATTAGTTTTCGATATGTTTTTTTTTGACATCCTGTTCTTTTACACACACATCCGCAAAGTTCGTATCTCTTTCTCCATCCGTGTATATACAAGCGGTCGAAGGAATGTAGATTTTCTTGTTGCCATAACACATTTCAGTCTCTGTCTCTTTCTTTTGATGAAGAAAGATGTAATCTGTGAACTCGGCTTTTTTTAAATAGGATTCGCTTGTACATGCACACCGCATTCACGAATGACGGCGATCCTTCGGGATGCGAGGATCGAATACAAGACAATTTTTTTAATATATGATATTGGCTATTATGATATTGAATATTATGATCATCCATTAAAATAGAAAATTAATTATATAGATTAAATAAATAATTAATAATAAAACTATTCAAGATTTAATTGGAAAAAATAAAGGAAAAGAGTTTGTTAAGAGATTTAGAAAATACAAGCGGAAGAAAGGCTATCGAGATATCCGAACAACATAGATCTTGAACTTTTTAAACAATTTTATTAATATAATTTTATTATATAAAAACAATTTTATCAATATAATTATTTATTTTATTCAACGATTTTTATGTATATTATTTCCTTAATAAATTTTATCTTTTCCATTTTATAAAATTGCAACATTATCATCAATGACACTTTTCATAATATGGAAATGACTTAGACTAAATACATCATTACAAGAAGACAATATCGCTTCAAAAAAATCTCTGATATCAGGAAAAGAAAATTTTGCGTACATGTATTTAGAACTAATCGAATATTCAGGTTTATCAAATCGACACGAGTTTAAAGGTTGTCGTCCGTTCTCACGAACGAGCCTCGAGAGAGCGTTTCTGGAATCAAATTCTAACCAATTAATTTTTCCGCGTTTAGAGCCTCAGTATTGCAGGGAACCTCGAAAAAATCTAATCTTGCTCAAGAATCTCGGAATGTCAAAAATTTGCCGAAAACACAATCGTGTGCGTTATGCTACAACTTCTCATATTTTTGCTTCAAGGGGCAAAGGTCAGTTGTATTGTTGTAAATTCCTCGAGAGAGCCTTCAGGGGCCCTCGATCAAAATTTTGTCGACCGCTCGTTAACAGGGTCAAGATCCTCGCTGAAAGAAGTCCCGGGGCTCAAGAATTTACTACAGCCAGAGTAAGCTGACTGAGGCAGACAAAGAGGAAGACACGAACTGAGGAGAGGATGCGTCAAAGAAGAGAAGGGATGAGGCTTGAAATGTGCGGACTTTAACTTCGTGTGCTTTTGGCCTGCACAGTCAGTGCGCGCGGAACGCAACGCCCAAAAGCTCGTGACAAGCGGGAGTTAATAGACGAATTAACGTTAAATGAGGTGAATTCGTGCGATAAGAAAAATTATTATGAAATTAATTAATTTTATTCTTATAATTTATGGAAAATCCAATTGCTGTAATAAATTCAAATTAATAGTGATGATGTGACAGACTATCTCCTCTCGTCTCGTACAAAAGCGATTGTGTTATTGCAACGCGCGATCGCAATATTTATAGGCGTATATTGTTTAAAGTGTGGTGATTAAGAGATGGATCACATTACATAAAATGAATTTAAAGAAGTACATGATAATTTAAAGTGTGCACTGCAATTGGACGTAATATAATTATGATTATTTTATTTATATTTAATATTATATTGTCTACATATATTTTAGAAAACTTAACGCATCAAGCCAGATTCAAACCCAAAGAATACAAACGATCACAAACGAATATCAACATATATCAAAGAGTAGAAAAGCGTTATTCAATTATTAATTTTATAAAAAATCATTTAAAAAATAATAATTGTAACGTCTTTTCACGTTCGTTCGGTGATATATTTACTTGCGATTGTTCGAACTTGATTTTAAGACATAGATATTCAATATTGCACAAGTACCTATTATGTTCGTAATATCTCAAAATATATTCTCGAATTTTATCGCGCGCGCGCGCGTGTAAATTTATACAAGATCTATTAAATGCCCTTTTTTTTTGTACTATAGAGATTCTTAGAACTTATATAAACTTTAAAAATCTCTATAGTACAAAAAAAGGACATTCAATAAATCATGTATAAATTTAATTTTATTAGAACATAATGTTTTAAATTATATTTAAAATATATATATTGTATTTAAAATATATACATTAGAATTTAATGTTTTTTAACTTTATATTATATAAAATATATATTAAAATATATGTATTAAAAAATATATTAAAATAATATAACATTATATTATACAAATTTATACATGGTCTATTGAATGTCCTTTGAATTATAGATTCTTTGTGATTTAATTAAAAATGAGCTTCTCGTAGCAATTTTTGAGTAAATGTAAGTTATCTTTTAGAAGTATATAATATTCATGCGAATTTATATACAGGGTGTCCCGAAACTCCCGCATACGAAATGTACAGGGAAATTATTGATATCAACTTGTCGTTTACCAAAACTCCATTCAAACAATAATTTTTAAATAAGAACTATTTCAAATTGTCGAATTAGTGTACTAAATTGTGCGCGATTTTATTACGTAACTTTTTATTGATGCATAATATCTGAAGTTATCAATATTTTAAATAGAACTTATTTGATACGAAGGAATTTCTTACTGATGTCTCTGAAAAAACAACTAGAAATAAAATGACATGCTTAAGCAACACATACATAATTTTTTATGCGAAGTATTGTTCCAACGTTTTAAAAATATTTGTGGCTTTGAAAACAGCCGATGGAATATTATTTATAACAAATGCTCGAAATATGTATATACCTACTGTTATAAGATGGTGCTTCACTTGAAACCACATCGTAAAAGACGATCGTGAAAAACAACCTACATAACTCATTTGATACTTCGTGATTGAGTATTATAGCGAAAAAATAAATAGCGCATTTTCGTATCACATAAGTTAATCCCGATTGTTATTATAAATATTATAAATATATATACATATATATACAATATATGTATATTGTAAAAAGATATAATATAAAATAATTATATAAAATTTATAATAACAATCAGTATATATATACTCCTCCTTCTATATTATATAGAGTGATCATGATAGAACATTTCAAGAACTACGCGCCCAATTTCAATCATTCTGGGGTCTCGAATTTCATAGATTAAATGCTCAAAATGTCGACCATTTATATGTAAACATTTGTTTATTCTAAGAATAAAATATCGGGACAACATTTCGAAGGTTACTGTGGTATGCTCATTTATAGCCTCACTTATTCGTCACATATCATCTTCTGCAGTTGATTGTTCAAACATTACTTTTCCTTTCACATATTTCACGTATAAATAGAATTACATGATGTTATTTTGCGTTTCACCTTCATTTTTCAATCAATCCCGATTTAATCAAGTCATTTAACTTCAGATTTTAAACGCTTGTAACCTTTAAAAATATGGTTGTAAGAAAAAAATGTTTTCGATGAAAGTTGTTTGTTATCTACGTAGATTACGAAAATAATTGATTTTACATAGGTATTCATTTGAAATTTTAAAATTTATTCTTTGGGGGGTCGAAGGGATCAATCTTGACATAGATTTAAAAGCCCCTAAGATCTGTAAAATTCAAAATCAGAATGATTAAAATTGATCGCGTAGTTCTTGAAATATTAAACTATTAACAGTTATGTAGGCTACTCTGCATATTAGTTAATTTAGATATAGTAAATTTAATTATTATATATATATTATAAAAAATATTTCGCAATCTTATCAAGCAAATTACTTTCTAATGACAGCAAGATGTTAAGTATCCTCGCCTGAAGAAAAGAGAAAAAAACAAAAGACGAGGCAAAATAGAATACACTTTAGCTTCTATTTTTGACGTGTCGCACGACGACGGACGACATCGATAACACCTTCAATTCGGCTTTTATGTATGTGAGTATTGATGACAACGAGAGAAAGAATTTAACCCCCGTCGAAAAGATTAATAATATTCGATGTCGCGCAAATTGCGGTACATTAAGCTGGGTCCAGACAGAGTGTAAATTAATTGTAGTACGAACGATCACGAATGAGCGTGAAAACAACGTCAATTATTAATTTTAAAAAATCTTATTTTAGATCATTTTTCCTAAAACTTTGTATAAAATAATTTTTGTTATATATAAAATTATTAATTATAAGCAATGCTGCTTTTTACTGATATTCGTTTGCTCGGTGTGTATCCGGTTTAATCTTCCGCGGATGCTCTCGAAGAGACGACTCGACGACAATAGGACGAACATGCATAATAATTCGCATTCGATATCTATCGCGAATGTGTACACGATTCGCGTGATATATATTGCGAATCAGCAATGCGAAAATAATTTTACAATATCTTCGACAACACGATAAGAATCGGAAAAGTCTATTTTTCTTTACAATAATAATAGCAATAGGCTCAAAGTACTAACGATACTAGGTGAAGAAATTGACAAATAAGAGCCGAATCATGATTATTAGTGTGCAAACTTTTTGTTGTTTAATTTCATTGACAAGTATGCATTAAATATGTACGTTTCGGATCGTTTTTCGGTCCGTCTTCAACATAGATAACAATATATAAAAATTAAATTCGCATTTTAGACTTAACATGCGCATGTTAAGTCTTAAATAAAGTCTTAAATAATTTTTCTTTATGTTAGAGATATATATTCTGAAACATGTTACATTATAAATATTTATCCGACATTTCTTTAAAAAAAATTTCTCTTCTCTGAATAATTTTATTCGGGGTCAATAATTAGAGATAAAATTTTCTTCGTGAAAAAACGCGCTATCTTTAAGGATATATGTGTCATGTATGAATGCATGTCAAAACATTGACAAAAGCATGAAAATTTCGTAAACTGTTCTATTATTTCTTCTGATTATCTGTGCAAAACCTAAGCACACAATTCTCTTAACGATTTGGAAATTATTTAAGTTTAAAGTCAGTATTGATTTTTATGAAAAATCGCATATTTTGGCACTTATTGATAAATTTGACAAGAAAGAAACATTGTCAACAAAATAAAAATTTTCATATACTTTATATTAAGAAAACTCTAATAAATATTTGTGCAAAACTTGATTTACATCCACTTACTTGTTTAAAAGTTATTTACTAAAAATTGTACAAAAATATTCTCTCTCTCTCTTTCTGCAAACAACTTGTTTTTTTTTTGTTTCTCGCAGTTGATCCGTCTTCAGAGCGTATTCACAATTAAAAGTTTTTGTCATAAATTAGGAAAAATATTAATTATATATACTATTTTCTTTTATGAAGACGTTAAAAACCATATTATTTTGCGATACTTTAATCCTTTTTATAATCCGAAATTATTTATTTGATTTTTCAAACAGTATAAACATAAGAAATATGTTTTTTTTTTTAATTTTGACAGTTTTTTGCTTGTATTGTACAGCCAAAACATCCTTAAAGTGTCTTATTAAAATAAACAAGAAAAAAAAAATATATATATACATACATGCGCGCGTGTTGCATGTAAAATGTTACGAAAAACAAATATGAGAACAAGCGACCGCATCTGCCGCTGGATTAAATATTTTTATCGCCCTTTCCTACGCGATTTGTGGTTCTATATTTAACGCGTCTGAAACGCGAGGGAGCTCGCGAGCGGTAATGATGCGCGATAATGGCTCTGAGAAAATCCCACTTTTTGAGATGCGCCAAAATCCGACTTGTTAGAATCGTGATGTGATCTCTGGATTGCAAATTACACACTGAACATTTTATGATACATTATTTCATAATCGCGCTCATGACACGCGACATCATCATTTGACAACATTGACCGCGATAACGACCCGACACTATATTTGGATCCGATTATCTATCTACAACATACGTATGTAGTCACGTGTAATACATATGTATGTAATTATATTGATTGCATGATGGTTTTTGTTATCGCGTGAATTACACTTTCTTCCTACAATTAGACACCGATAAATATCATATGATCTTTCATTCGTAATGTATCGTGTAAATGTTTGCCGTGATATTGAAGACAAAGATGTGGAAGATGGAAAGGATAGTAATTGAATGACGTAATTTTGTGTGTTATTACCAATTATAATGTCTGTGAAGTGTCAGTCTAGTCTTTAGATTGATACAAGTTCTCTCGGTTTTTTGCGTAAAATTATTATTTAATTATGAATGTCATTTCGCATTTTTTTTTGCTTACCGATACGCTGTTTTGTTATTAATTACATTATAAATGCAGTCTTCTTACGTATATAAAAACATTGTGATAATACTAGCATCGTTGAAATCGATTAAATATTAAAACAAAAATATTAGAAATAGCTACTAATTTCTTCATCATATTTAAATAAAATACATGAAATCATGAGAGAAAAATACGAAATGAAAAAGTCATAATTCCCGAAACAACTTGATATAATGTATTAAGTCAAAACAATAGTATCATTGATAATAAAATTATTGAATAATACGAAGATCTTCGACTTTGCTGATAATAGCGTGATGCAGTACAAAGTTAAACTGGCGGTGAATCTATTTTCGTCAATGGATTTACGAAACATTTCGCTACATTTGTTTCAAAAATAATACGAGCTTCAATATGTGGACTATTTTCAAAATATGAGCACAAGATTAAATCCCTTTGAATCCCCTCAAATTAGTTTGAATAAAAAAAAATCTGAAACAGATTCGAATCAGCGCGGAATGTATTCATAAATCTAATTATTATCAAAAATTGTCGCAAACATTTTTATGTATAAGGAAATTTTGTGTATAATAATTTTCTCAAAAAATTATTTGACGAAGTATCAAAACATTTTGAAAAATTAAAACGGTAATGCAATGTGTTTGTGGATGTTTAATCACGCGATTACATTACAATTTTCTTACCATAACGCATGTAGATTTATGCGCGACACTATTGCAAACGCTTTCTGGAATGTCATGCTCAAACAAAAAAGAGATTGATGTACCGCTTTCAATAATACTATCTGTATATATACAATATACTACCAAAAAAGTAGGTAACACTTTCATACGTTAAAAATTGTGTTATTTTCAAACCGCTAAAACTCGACAAAAAAAATCATCGTAGACAAAAAATTAAAAAAGCATTTTCAAGTTTGAAGTTTCAACTTTTACATGCTAGCGATAGTTCTTTAAAACTTTTATATTATATTATTATTATGTGTATATATATATATGTATATATCCAATAAGCCGAGTTCTGAGTTTTTACCAACTTAATCCGAATGAAAGTCCAGTTAAACCTCACTTTACGGAATAATATTTTATTCCGCAAACTGCGGTTTACGTGAAGATTGTTTTCGTAAATTCTAGGATTTTTTTAGATGATATAGAGAAATCTACTGAAGCATACAGGTATTTTATTTTGCGTTTGATTCTATTGAATCTACTGAAGCATACATAATGGTATTTTATTTTGCGTTTGATTCAATAGAATCATTTGTATGCTTCAATAGATTTCTCTGTTTCATCTAAAAAAATCCTAAAATGTACGAAACCCTCAGATCAAATGTATACCCATAGCCTAATATATAAAATGTATATATGTGTTTTATGTATATATATTCGGCGAAATTATTTGACTTGATCGTTTTTGAGAAGGACATAGCGAGAAGAATAGAATGACGAGGAAAGAAAAATGCGGACAGTCGGATACGCGCGAGGGCCGAGCTTCGGAAAACCAAATGTTTGCAGACAAATCGTCGTCGTTTTCGACGAGGAAAATCAACAAACGCCCCTCGTTCGAACTTAATGCACCATCCAGGGATAAAAATTGTTCCGCACGCGTGGTTCTCCGATTCCGATCCGAGGATTTCGAAACCTCGTCGTCTTCTTCCGAACAGCAAGCCGGGAAAATTGCGTAGCACAGAAAAACTTGCACTATCGTGTTTTCATTAAAATTTCGGAAAATTTTATATTTTTATATGCAAAAATAATGCCGAAATTATTAATGCGAGTCTCTCTTACCAAATATGAAATTACACATCCTTTCAATTACAGATTCTCTCGCGAGAGAAATTAAAACTGATTCTTTAAATAAGAAGATTATACAAGAGTGCAGAGAGATTAAAAAGTAATTAAAAGACAAGAACGGAAGCAAAATATGTGCCGAGACATAGACGGTGAAGTTTAAGTGCGTTCCATGCGGCATTAAATGGAATGAATTGCGCAATTTTCATTTAAAGTTATCTTTGATCTAAGATATAATAAGAAAATTGAAGATGAAGGTTAATTAAGATTGCGAGAATGTAGCGTACTGACTGCCAACAGCGTGCAGAATCCAAGGTTATAAGTTATTGTATAACGTAACATTATGTATGCAAATATAAATACTGTGTATGCAAAAACTTAGAGTTAAAAAATTTTGCAGCAAAATATGAATTTTGAAAATTCTTATTTAAAGATATATTTCAATTGCAAAAAATATACAGATCTGATTTGAAAAGAGGGAGAAAAAGAGAAAAAAAATTTAATTTTTATATATGTATTAGAGATCTTATCAATTTCACTATGTATTTTATCTGATCAATACGCCGATCTAACACATTTATTATATATTTCGTTTTATAATTAAATCATATCGTTACACTTTTCTCATTTTACAATAGCAAAAATATAAAAAAAAAAAAAAAAAAAAAAAAAAAAAAACGGTGACAGTAGCGCGAGCGACTCGCATGAATATTCATCTCCGATGTGGAAATCCGTCACGAAATTTCCACATCACGCCGTTAAAGCTCCGGCTTGTATCCGCGAGTATATTTCCTGCTCTGACTTTCTCTCTCTCTCTCTCTCTCTCTCTCTCTCTCTCATACACAGACACAAACATCGCAAAGGGTATCCTGAGTCGCCTTCCGTCGCGCCCGCCCCCATAGGGATT